TCTCTGACCCTCCCCTGCTCACGCTGTCTCTCTCTCTCTCTCTCCTAGAAATAAATAAAAATATTAAAAAAAAAAATTAAAAAAAAAAAAAGGAATTACTTTCCACGAAGAATAGCTGAGTATCTTAATACTGGTATATTATGAACCTACGCATTTATTACGGACTTTTGTGATGAAGATGCTATTCAAGAAGTGGGTTACAAAATCCAGAGCATGAAGAATTTAGGTCGGTATGTTAATGATCGATTGGCATATAACAACCCCCAAATTTAACAGTTCAAAACAGTGTCGCTTATGGTCCCGCGCAGGTCTGAGGGGCAGGAATCTGCGAGTGGCTGAGTGGGGTGGTTCTGCCTTGGGCTCGCTGAGGTTGCGCAGATGCGAAGGCCTCCCCTGGGCTGAGTGCGTCCGCTTCCGGGACGGTTCATCACATCCTCAGCATGCAGGCCTCTCCGCACCGACGCTGCACAGGGCAGCGGACTTCGCCAGTCATCCGAGGGAGGGAGCTGCACTGCCTTTAAGATCCAATCTCAAGTCACGCGCCATCAAGTCTGCCATAATCTAGTATAACAGCGAGTCCCGAACTTCAGCCCACACGCAAAGAGAGGGGAGTTAACCTCTTCCTCCTGAAGGACCGAGTATCAAGGAATTTGTGAGCATGTCCCAAACCACTACAATGCGATAGGAGGACTTCTGTTCGCTGTGGGGTTGCCAGAAATTGTAATGAGATCCTGGAATCCCTCTCCCTGGAAACCCCAAAGATTAAAATAAATTATAACCTTTTTGAAACAGCTTCAGCTGCTTTCTAAAAAGCAAGAGATTACACCCAATTGGGTCCTCGGTCACTTACAGCCCAATCACTTTTGAACAGCAGGTATTCAATAAACGGCATAAAACACCATGCTGTGAATATAATATCACAGATCTTGCGGTAATTCTGCAAAGTGAGCGGTTTAATCCCCCTTTTCCAGACGTGAAAGGGGTCCAGGGTTGGGCATAAGCCGCGGTTCCTGTCCAGCTCTAGCCGGTTCCCACATCCGTGCTCCTCCACTGCAGGACACCTCTCTCACTCCAGCCACCGCACAGGCCTGTGTCGTGGCTCCAGACACATGGGAAGTACCGCAAGCATATCAGCCCAGCCAAGATTTCCACCTTTTGTTCCATCAATTTCAGTCTCCCTCTCCCCCTTCCTCACCCAACCAGTCTGTCTGTTTTGTCTGGTGTTTTCTGTTTGCTGCTCTGAGGCCTCCTTTCGCTTCACTTTCTGTCCCACCCTGGCTCCGGGCCCATCTGCACTGGAGGAGCAACCAGTAACTGCTCACGCAGCAGCGACAGACCCAGAACCAAGAGCCTGTCCTTACCAACCCAGGAGGGGACTCTGCCCCACCTCACACTTCGGCCTCCCCATCCCAAGAGCTGGTCGCCAAACTCTGCTCAGAATAAGGACACGGACCCAGAAAAGCTAGTGCCCAATGTGGGATGCTTCTTCCTTTGCCCATTCTCCCGCAACAATCCCACTGGACCCTGAGGCCTGTCCATTCAACCCTGCAGATGTTTCTCAGTATTTATCCTAACCATCCCCATAAACAAGGTCCCACTTCACACAAGTTGTTCTTTGTTTGACTCGGGTTCCGCATCAGCTTCTCAAAAGTCCCTTGCCTCCAGCCTCACCCTCTCTGACTGATTCCCCAAACAGCAGAGTTCTTTCCAATGCCCGGATCTGATCTTGCCATTCCCTTCAAAGAACCTTCAATAGCTCCCCATCAACTCCCCTCACAATGGTCCAAAGGGCCTTGGAGTTCATCCTACAGGTTATAAAAAGGGACCTGATGTTTGGACGTCTCCTCTGTACCAGACACCCTACCTACGTTATTTCCTTTTATTTAATCCTCTCGGGAACCCTACAAAATCTGTATATGGCCCCTGTGAGTATATGGTTCTAATTAGCCCTCTCTATCCAAAAGCCTTTCCCGCCCACCAATCTATCCAACAGATCCACAAATCCCTTCCGTGCAAAACCACTTTCTTGTCAAGAACCCCGTCTGTTCACACGGCCGGTGCTCGAACAAAAAAGGGATCATGTCAGATTCACCTTTAGGCCCTCAGCCCCTAACAAAGAACCAAGTTCGGAGCAGGTGCTCAGTACAGGGCTGATGACTGATAACGGAGTACAGGAAAGGCCCATCATGGTGTAGACAGACTGAAGCATGAATCACCGTATTTCCTAGGGGTATCATATCACTTAACTGTTCTCCCAGGAAGCCTTCAGAACGGCGCCCGGGGCTCTGACCACTCCTGCAACAGCTCAGCTAAGGGAGAAGTGCCCAGACCCAGGTGTCCCATTCAAAGACCAGCGGGCCTCTGCACCAACCCCCATCTGCTGCCCCTTCTTTCCTCCCTCCCTCTACTCTGCACACGCCCCCACGGTTGTAAAATTACCCCAGAACAGGGCTTCTCACTAAAGTACTTCATTTTCCAACTTCATCACCCAGCACAAAACCTGGCCCATGGGGCCCATCGACAGAGGTCTTTAAGGGTAAATACACCAGCTAACGTGTACTTGGTACTACGTGTCCGGCGCGCGCTAAGGACTCAATCTGCATCACCTCGAACCATCCTTAGGGCAACCCCGCCAGGGAAGGCCAGAGCAGGCCCCGAGGCGCCCCGCACCAACCGGGCGCCGACGGGGACGTCACCCGTTCACGCGTCCCTCCGCACCACACTCGCAGGTTTGGGCCAGGAAGGCTCAGGCGTGGAGAAACCGCCCAGGGACGCACAGCTGCTGCGGCCAGGAGCCGAATCCAGGCGCCCCCCTGCCCCGCGCCCCCCCCCCCCATGGCGGTCAAGGCCGAAACGGCCGGGTCGCACCGGACCAGGGCGCCGCCGACCCGCACGCCGCGCTGCGCCCCCGGGGTGTCCCCACCGCGCTCCCGCGGCCGCCCACCTGTCCCCCGCCAGCGCGCCGCCGGGCTACCGCGGGCCAGGGCCCAGCAGGCCCGGCGGCAGGTGGCCCGGGGCTCGCGCGGGGCGGCGCCCTCGCAGCGCGCCGCGGGCGGGTGCGGGGCAGGTGTCGGCCCCCGGGGCCCCCGGGCCCTCCGCCGCCCGCCGCCCGGGGGAGGGGCGCCCGCTCCCCGCTCGCCCGCGCCGCCCGGCCGTTACCGGTTCCGCTGCTCTTTGAAGAGCGCCGTGAGCGCGCGGAGGGCCTCCAGGTCCTGAATGGGCGCGGGCACCATGACGCCGGACAGCCGGGCGGGCGGCGGCCTGGGCGCCGCCATCTTGCCGCTCGCAGCTCGCCGAGCCGGGCGCCGACGAGGAGCGGGGCCGGCGGAGGAGGGAGGAGCGCGGCGAGCGCGGGCGGGGGAGGAGCGCGCCCCGCGGCCGCCGGACGCCGCCGCAGCCCAGGCCCCGCGGGAGAGCGCGACAACGCGCTCCCAGGCTCCCCTCGGGCGGCGACGGGGACGACGCGGCGCGGGGAGGGGGCGCGGGCGGAAGTCCCGCCCGAGGGAAGGGGGCGCGGGCGGAAGCTTGGGGGGAAGGGGTGCCGGGAGGGCTTGGGGTCTGAGAGGTGCCGCCGGGGCCCCAGGCTCACCTTGAGGGGGAGATGCAGGAGGGGGTGGCTGGGTCTGGCCGGGAGGGGGGACAGGGACAGGTGCTCCCTGAGGAGGAGGTGCGGGCGTGGGGGGCTGACCAGGAGGGGGGACAGAAGCAGGTGCTCTCTGAGGGGGAGGTGGGGGCGTGGGGGCCTGACCAGGAGGGGGGACAGAAGCAGGTGCTCCCTGGGGGGGAGGTGGGGTCGTGGGGGCCTGACCAGGAGGGGGGACAGAAGCAGGTGCTCCCTGAGGGGGAGGTGCGGGCGGGAGGGGCCTGACCAGGAGGGGGGACAGAAGCAGGTGCTCCCTGAGGGCGAGGTGCGGGCGTGGGGGTCCTGGGCGGGCGTGGGGGGCGGGAAGTACAGGGACAGGTGCTCCCTGACGGGGAGGTGCGGGCGGGAGGGGAGACACAGGAGGGGCAGAGGTGCCGAGGCTCCTTGTGAGAAGGGTGAAGACCTCACCCAGCGGCCGAAACGGGTTTATTCGCGCCCTGCGTGGACCCACTGGAAAGCGGAGCGGTCTGTCAGCCGAGGGCAAGTCTCAGACCCTGGAGCCCAGTTCCCAGAACTCAGTGATCTTTCCCAGGCACTTCAGGCTGCTGAGGATAGGGGGCTCCAGCCCCTGGGGGACTTAAAATATAATTAGAAGTCAAGCAGCTAAATTCTGTAGCAGTAACTTGAAAATTGTTTTTTCCTATATAGGACTTTTTTTTTTTTTTTTTTGAGAAAGAGCGCGGCGCAAGTGAGAGTGAGGGAGAGGGGTAGAAGGAGAGAGAGAGAAAGAAAGAGAATCCCAAGCAGGCGCCATGCGCAGTGCGGAGCCCAATGTGGGGCTCTATCCCGCCACCCTGGGATCCTGACCTGAGCCAAGATACCAGTCAGATGCTCAGCCCGCAGAGCCACTCGTGTGCCCCAGAATTGCTTTTTTCTAAGGGAAATGAATATATTTCTCAAGGATCAGGCGAGGTTCTGTGGCTGGCGTTGGTAATTCACGTATTTTCTTTCTACGTACACCTTCAACATTGTCACCAGGCCCTGTGCTAGTTGAAACGATCCCAACCCCGAGGGGACTCAAGATGAGAGAGGCAAATGATAACTACTTGACAGAGGACTGTACGAATTGCTATGGGACCATGTAAAATCTGCAGATACATACCTAGGAGTGTGTTCATAATGTGGCACTTTTAATGACCTTTGCTACATAAGACAATAACCACCACCAGCCTATGCAGGAGAAACGAAATCATGTGCATGCAAGTTACACAGCAGTAACTCAGTCTTACCCTTCAACGGATTACATACTCATTTCAGAAATATTTCTGTATGCCAGTTATGTGCCAGGGCTTAGATCACCTAGCAGTGCCAAAGAAAATTCAAAAGTGTTTAGCAATCCTTAGATTAGCAGGACAAAATCACCCAATGTTTCCTTGAGGAGAAGGAGATAGTAAAATATGTCATCATGCATCTGGATTTTGCCCCTTAGTTTTCTGTCCTCAATTGTAAAACAAAAGTAACTACTCTGATTCTTCCAGAAAACATTCCCCATAATATTCAAATGTATTGCCTGGAAAGTTGTAATATCCTAATTGGTTTCTTGACTTTTTCTCTTGCCTCCATACATTCCAGACCTTTTTTTTAAATTTTTAAAAATGTTTTATTTATATCTGAGAGAGGAGAGAAAGAGACAGTGTGAGCAGGGGAGGGTCAGAGAGGAAAGGACGTATCACATAGTAATTTCTTAATAAATATTAGTAAAATTAATGAACAAAATATTTTCATAAAGGAGAAAGAAAATAACATGCCTCTAGAAAAAAAAATGTACACCAAAAAGTACAGGAAAGAGAAAGGATGGAAGAGACGAAGAAATAAGTTATAAGAAGATTAAAAGAGCTGCATTAACAGGACAGACCAGTAGTATCAGCAAGTAAAAAAAAAAACATACAAAAACGTAATGAACTGGTCAAACAGTGAGTGTTATTGACCACCCAGAATCGACTAGGAGATATCAACCTTGACTGAATTGACAGAAGTAAGTTAATATTTCACTTGAGCAAAGTGGCATTTTTTTCTTTTTCTTTTTTGGCTTTTGAGCTCCAATCCAAGTATGCTTGCTTTCTTCCTTTTCATCCTTTGTTTCTTTTATTAAGTTTTCTTATTCTAACTCCAGCATAGTTAACATACCGGGTAATATTAGTCTCAGGTATACAATATAGTGACTCAACAATTTCATACATTGCTCAGTGTTCATCATGATCAATGTACTCTTTAATCCTCATTGCCTGCTTCCCCAGCTCCATCCATATTATTGTAAATGGCAGATTTCATTATTTTTTACGACTGAAAAATATTCCACGGTAGATAGATAGATAGATAGATAGATAGATAGATAGAGATGATTGATTGATTGATCGATCTCACATCTTCTTTCTCCATTTATCTATCGATGGACACTTGGGCTGCTTCCATAATTTGGCTGTTGTAAATAGTGCTGCAATAAACATAGAGGTGCATGTATCCCTTTGAATTAGTGTTTGTGTATGTTTGGGGTAATACCAAGTAGTACAATTCCTGGATCACAGGGTAGTTCTATTTTCAATTTTTTTTTTTTTTTTTAGAAAGAGAACATGAGCAGGGGAGAGGGGCAGAGGGAGAAAGAGAATCTCAAGCAGGCTCCATGCTCAGCGCAGAGCCTGATGCAAGGCTCGATCCCATGAACTGTGAGACCATGACCTGACCTGAAATCAAGAGTCAGACACCTGGCACACCAGGGTGGCTCAGTAGGTTGGATGTCCAATTCTTGATCTTTGGCCTAGGTCATGATCTCATGTTGTGGGATCGAACCCCGAGTTGGGCTCTGTGCTGACAGCATGGAGCCTGCTTGGGATTCTCGCTCTGCCCCTCCCCCACTTACCTATGTGTGCTCATGCTCACTTGCTCTCTCTCAAGATAAATAAACATTTTTTAAAAAGAGTCAGGGGCACCTAGGTGGCTCAGTCGGTTAAGTGTCTGACTTTGGCTCAGGTCATGATCTAGGGGTTCATGAGTTTGAGCCCCGCATTGGGCTCTGTGCTGGCAGCTCAGAGTCTGGAGCCTGCTTTGGATTCTGTGTCTCCCTCTCTCTCTCTGCCCCTCTCCTGCTCATACTCTGGGTGTGTCTCTCAAAAATAAACATTAAAAAATGTTTAGTAAATAAATTTATTAAATTATTTTTTAAAAAAACTGAACCACTCTGGCACCCATAGTTTTAATTTTTTGCAGAACCTCCATTCTGTCCTCCACAGTGGCTGCACCAGTTTGCATTCCCACTAACAGTGCAGGAGGGTTCCTTTCCCCCCACATCCTTGCCAACATCTGTTGTTTCTTGTATTTTTGATTTTAGCCATTCTGATAGGTATGAGGTGGTATCTCCCTGTGGTTTTGATTTGTATTTCCCTGATGATGAGCGATGGGGAGCATCTTTTCACACGTCTGTTAGCCATCTGGATGTCTTCTTTGGAGAAGTGATTGTTCATATCTTCTGCCCATTTTTAAATTGGATTAATTAGTTTCTGGGTGTTGAGTTGTATAAGTTCTTTATATATCTTGGATACTAAGCCGTTATCAAATATCTCATTTGCAAGTATGTTCTCTCACTCCATAGATTGTCTTTTAGTTTTTGTTGGTTGTTTCCTTTGCTGTGCAGAAGCTTTTTATTTTGATGCAGTCCCAATAGTTTATCTTTGTTCCTATTTCGCTTGCTTCAGGAGACCTATCTAGACAAATGTTGTTCTGGTTCTGGCCTATGTCAGAGACATCGTTGCCTGCGTTCTCTTCTAGGACTTTGTTATGGTTTCAGGTCACATGTAGGTCTTTAGTCCTTTTTGAGTTTATTTTTGTGTCAGATGTAAGAAAGTGGTCCAGTCTCATTCTTCTCCGTGTAGCTGTCCAGTTTTCCCAGCACCTTGTTGGGAAATATACAACCCATTGTATAGTCTTGACTCCTTTGTGAAAGATTAATTAACCATATAATTATGGGGCTGCCTCTCGGTTCTCTATTCTGTTCCATTGATCTATGTGTCCTTTTTTGTGCCAGTTATCATACTGACTATAGCTTTGCAATGAAACTTGAAGTCTGGAATTGTGATGCCTCCAGTTTTATTTTGCTTTCTCAAGGTTGCTTTGGCTACTCAGGGTCTTTTGTGGTTCCATACAAATTTTAGGACTGTTTGTTGTAGTTCTATAAAACATGTTGTTGGTATTTTGATAAGGATTGTATTAAGTCTAAATGACATTTTTTAAAGTTACATAAATATCGGTTGCCTGAGATGATGTGTCAACCGTATTGATGTACCTGAATTAAACTTCAAATGAAATGTGTTATATAAATGTGTGCCCTGAGCCCAGTGCAGAACAGGACCAGTAATCAGGAAGTACAGATAATAAATTTTAAGAAGAAGGAAGCGGGGAGTGAGAGGGCACCTGTGGGTCAGTTGGTTAAACATTCGACTTCAACTCAGGTCATGATCTCATGGTTTGTGGATTCGAGCCCCGCATTGGGATCTGTTCTGACAGCTCAGAGCCTGGAGCCTCTCTCTCTGCCTCTCTCTCTCTCTCTCTCTCTCTTTCTCAAAAAGAAATAAAACATTTTTAAAAATTTTAAAAAGGAAGGGGAGGAAAGGAAAGCAAAGGAGAAAGTAGGTGAAGTGCAAGACAAAAGGATTTGGACCGAAGTACATATGTTTCTGGGGAGGTAAAGAGAGAGGACATAAGTGAATAGTGGTAAAGAGAAGATGAGTGACAAATGGATAGAAAAAACCTTGCTTGTGCTGGACCCTCTGAAACTTTCCCCTTGCCATCTCTGCCTGTGGTTCTCTTGCCAGAAAGCTTACGCCATCACCACCCACT